CCCTTAAACAAAGGAAAAGTACGTCCTTTATGAAGGCATAGAGCCTTTACTACATGAAAATGAAAATTAATGAATACACTGTGTACAGTAATTTACCTGATAAGACAGACCTCAGAAAAATACATTATGAGAGCTTTTATACTTTTATAAAGCTGTCTATAATGAAAATTAATTAACTAAGGATTTTTTTGCCCTGCCAGGGTGTGGCCGAGTTATCCGGAGTGCCGGGTTATCGAGAGCCGAGTTTTCGAGGTTTTACTGTAATTGAATAACATACTTAAGTAAAATGAAATCTAAAAACTTAAGTTTTAAAACTATTCTTAACCTAATATTTTATAACAAGATATTGTTGTAGCTTCTACAGGGTGACTGCATCTATTTGTTCAATAACTCATGATTGCACAGTCACATTTGAACAACATTTAATGTACTGTACAGTACAGCATACCTTGGTCAATGACAAATAGGAATGTCTCAAAAAAGATACTGAAGTGCCCACCACTAGCACAGACTAATGTTGATTTTAAATGCTGATATCAAATTTTAATACAATAGAAACTATATTTAACATTTTCCAATTAAATGTATTTTTTCACCTGTTCCTTCAAATCGTTGTAAATCACAATGTTAATGTTATTACATAGTGTGTTTTGATGATGTGAATTTTTGAAAAACTTGATCTTAGATGAAGTTTTATCTCAAACAATAGTTTTAGAAAAAATTAAATGTACTGTATTTCATGTTTGGATGATATTGACAAAAATGTGTTTATGTTTCAAACTTAGAAACTGCAAAGAATCAATATCAAATCCTCAACAGGAAACAAACAAATATCCTTGATTACTTTAAAAAAAAAAACAACTTTAACATCTTTGTGTAAAACATGTATAGAGGTGCTGACATTATATTGTATGAAATAAAGCTGCTTTTGGAAGTGCTTATGCTGGAAATATTTGTTTTTCTTCACTTTACCCATTCTGAATGCACATAACATGAATTTGTATCTTTTTGCACGTTTTTTAAGGATGTGTGGATTTTATGTAGTCTGCAATTTAATGTATTTTTTCATCAGTTCCTTGTGAAACATTGAGTTTCTACTGTATTTTCTTTCCAAGACAAATGCTCTCTTTAAATGTATCCATAAATAGGTAACATCATTGCCACCAATTTCACTAACAAATTTAAAAATCCTTGCCTATAAACTTTGCTTTTTAAAATAAATTATAAAACAGTAATAACCATTCTAGTTTATAAAACAGAATTTATTCATTGTAAGAGCAGAGTTCAAAGCTTTTAATTGAAAATGTTTTTGACCTGATTAATGGTCCATCCTAATGCATAAGAAAAGACTGCTTTAAATAAAAAATAATGTGACATAGTAAATAAACTGGAGAAAACAGAAAACTGTGAATCAGATCAAGACAAAAAAAATCAACAAAAGAGATATTTCATTTTATTATATAAGGCAAAGTCATAGTTTAAGCATTACAATATAGATTAGATATTTAGATAAATGCTCTTACAAGCACTACAACTGAATTAAAAAATTAAAATGTACTATAATTATTATATACACAGAAAGATCAATAGGCTTAAAAACCTCAACTGCAAATATACAAGATGCATTCAGTAAATCATAATCAATTATGAGATTTATATAGGGTATCAAAAAAGTTACTGTGCAGTGGAAAAGGTTTAAGTAAAGTTTTAATAAAAGTGAAATTTTACATATGATATTGCAGTTTCTCCTAGAGCAAATGCCGAAAATGTTCCCCAGAGATTCCAAAATCAGAAACCTAGCAGACCAGAGGCCGTATTCTGGTCACTGTCTCTAGTCTCATCTCTCGCAAGCCGGTCGCTGATTGGCTAATCATTTGGATTAGCCAATAAGCGACCGGCTTGAGAGAGACAAGAGTCCTGAGACAATGACCAGAATATGGCCCCAGATTCCATGGGAGATTATATGATCAGCAAGTCTTCCAAAAACCAGAACATCTGTGAGTAAGCAGTAATGCCATCTATTGCAAAGTGAAACACAGGTCATACAACTTACAGGTCTTGTATGCAATGCTGTATGTATTACTTTAATGTCGTTACAAATTTCTCACTGCACAGTAACTTTTTGAACATCCTGTATTATAATTTCTAAAAGGGAGCAATCTTATCTATGAATCTTATAAAATTATACTAGTAACACTAATTACAAATACATTAATACATTGTATAAAACAGTTCATGTTTATAAACTTTTATTTATTTTACATACACTTGTACATATTCAATTATAAAATTCCATCTACAATAATAATGCAAGTTATCTTTACTGATATTTTATTTTTTAAAAAGCAAAAATATAGACTTGTTACCTAAACTTGTATTATCTTGTAAGACAATACAAATTTAGTTTTATATAAAATAAAATTATATATCATGAAAAAATATGTACATATGTATTGATATGAGAAGACAATGAATTAGAATGAACAATTTGGAATATTTACACCCTCTGGTAAATATTTTAGATGATGAAACTTCTTATCAATTTAATCTTCTTTAATACATCTTACAAAGTACATTAAATTGCATCTTAAAGAGTTTAAATAAAAATAAGCTGAAATAAATTTTAATATTTCATTAAATCAGCATTTAAGATTCTTATATATCAGTGTTTTTCAAAAACGGGTGCACAAAAAAATTTCACCAGTCCATGGAAAAATATTTGATCATACTGACACTAATGCATTTGATTAAGAGTGACATTCAGTGGCTATCTGTCATTGGAAGCAGTGGATGTGCCGCTTCCCTTGTATTTTCTAAAAAATAAATACATATTAATTTTAATTATATGAAAATAATCGCACAATATTTTATTATAACCACATTATGTATCTTATTACAAATTTCTATACTACACGCGGAAAAAAAAAAAGATTGCTATTGTATATTCGAATATTAGTGGCGGAGTGGAAGCGCCGTATCGTCAGCATCCAAAAAGCCAGATTTGCGCATGCGCTTTACAGAGCACCAACCTCACCCGGTTTAGCCAGTGGAAGCCTAGGACCTTAGGTGGATGCTACACGTATACCACATCCAATTCTATCCAGGACCGGTTCTGGGCTGTTAGCTGCCTACCTGCTAGAATTTGGCCGCCCTCACCCGATTAAGTGAATCACGAGTAGATTTATAACTTAACCCAACCGATAAGAATTTACTGGTATGATTTTACGATAGTTGGTATAGTTGACAGGAGTTAAAAAACTCCATTGAAATATTTGATATATTTATTTTGCTCTCTGATTTTATATTACTCACAGATTTCAATGTTAAACCAGTGATATTACGATTTTGTATATCCCAACTTTAAGAGAATGTAGAAAAAAAACATGTATAATTCATCATACAATGTTAAAAAAATTAACCGTTACTTCAACAGCGTCATTTACAACTAAATTTAATGAATGAGAGAAATGCACAAGGTACAGAAAAGGCTCTAGAATTTATTTTCCTTAAATTTACGATTTATGTATCCGTTTGCCATAAAAATTTGTCTTTCCACTTTTTTCCCAAGACTACAAATATTCGAGTACAAAGTAACCGGTTTCAACTTATTTCTACTTAAGAAGTAGTTAAATAATTAAGCGATTAGGGAATTGGGGACATAAACAAAACCCTGATGAAAGAGCCAAAATTTTACTTAAACAAAAGCTTAACCGAACCATCTCTAGCCGAGTACAGTTGGACTGATTTCTTCGTATTATTAATGTAATAAAGACAGAAATTTTTCCAGTTCAATGAGAGTGACCAAAATGTTGTAAATTTTGGAAATTTATGAGAACACTTTATCCTAAAAAGAATTAGTTAGAAAACAGATGACTATTAAGTTTAACATATTAGATTTTTACAGCTATGGTGAGAAACATTTAAAATCTACAACAACCCTGTCGCGTCCTTTGACATATACTAGTGATGCAACAGAAGAGGTATTTGACATTGACCGGTATCAGCACCCTGGGAATTTGGCAGTCTGTATGTGCATGCTCTGCAACCATCTTTGATTCCATCCATTAGCCACTCGTAAGGAGCTATTTGACTAA